CAGATGCAAATGCAATAATTAATTGATAAATAGCAACCTATTGTTTTCTCAGTGAAACTGTTTATTGGGTACATTGCATCATATTCTAATTCATCAGATTTAAGAACAGTATTAAGTTGATTAATAAGCACTGATTGTCCTGTTAATCTTAAATTTCTGGATGTACTTCACACAGTTTTAAACCAACTGTAATTTGGTTCCCAGAGTTTCCCTAAAAGTTAAAATCACCCTCTCCAAAACTGCTTTTCTTCTCACGGAGTAAAAAAAAGATTGGGCATATAATTCCTTTCTTCAAAAGCAACTCAAACATCTAGGCTGGAATCCAAGCACCTAGGCTGAAATCCAAGCAATCTCATAGACAGTTTAAGTAATCTGTTACTTTCCTCAGCGGTCGAACAGGAAAGCAGGAAAGTATTATGGAGGTAGACTTGAAGGCAATTTACTCAAATTAGCACACACATTATTCATTAATACGAGATTTTGTTAGAGAGCCTAATGTAGGAATATAAGAACGCAGCAGGAGTACTGTAACAGTAAAAATTACAAAACTACGCTGTATTATTTGACTTAAAATTTCCATACTTCTCAGTGCTCAATTATATCTCCTCTTTCAATACCAGCAAGTAGGGATTCCCTGAGGAATTTGGTCTTTGATTTCTGCTGTACCGCACTGAGTAATTTGTGGATTACAACCAATGAAGCAGAGGTTGCCAGTGCTGTGGCCACAAGGGCCGATGCAGACACCTATAGTGTCCCCTGCTTCTTCCCTCAGCTGCAGTCAGGCTTCAAATACACCTTCTGTTGTAGTCAAGAAAGACTACAGAGGTGTAGTAGGGCAGTTTTAGAGGGGTTTCAGCTGGAGAGAGGAGAGTTAAATCTCCCCTCCCCACTGAAAGCACCTCTCCTTGCCACAGGTAGGCTTAAAATGAGCCTTCTATGGCACCGGTAAAATTCCTCACACACACCCTTGCCTAACTGTTCTGTGTCTGGTCTCCCTGGCTATTGCCACTGGGGAGGGAAGATTACGTTTTACCCAAAAAATCTCACATACACCCCAATTAGGACTTGGGGGAGAATTGCTCCCTCACCCCACCAGCCTAATGGCTGATTGAGAGGAGAATGTGCACCTGTGTGTCTGTGACTGCGGAGCACAGCTGTGGTATTGTATGGTTCCCACAACAATTTCTCGGTTTGCAGATATACTGATGGTCTCAGAAGGGTTGGCGACCCCTGGGTTAAAGACTCAAATGTGTAGATTGTAGACGTGCTACAACTGGTCAAATGGCACATGTAGAGATTTATTCCCCCTTCAAAAAGCAAGAGAGTTTCAAGATTCTACAGATTTTCATTTATTTCCTGATAGCAGTTGAAGCAAATATCAGAGAGATGAGGAAGTTGGCATTACTTAAAATGGTTTAAAGCACAGAATTCTGTGTATGAGGGTTTGTTTGTGTGTGTGTATCAAATATTACAGGAATTCGTGAAAATACCTCTCATCTATTTCCCAATACTAATTTTTGGCTTTAATATATGGAACAGTTTTTGGCTATAATTCCTAGGGAATGAAAGTAAAATCATATGTACTTCTGTTATTCTATGCAAAAAACTGGAAAGGCATGCAGCTTAGGAACTGAAATCAATTTAACATTTTTAAAACCTTCACATTTCATAAAGCCAATTAAGGGTTTTCAAAATGGAGGAAGGATGGTTTTGAAACACAAAAGTTACTTGGGCAAAAGCTAAACATGGTGCATGCAAGTGAAATGGTTAGGGCCCATCTTTATATCTTGCTGAATTTGCACTAAATTGAAAAAAAAAATTTTTTTAATGTACTTTATACAACAGTAGAAAGCAAAAGAAACTTCTTTTTAACATAAGCTGTCCATGGGAATGTTGGCTTCAAAAATATCTGCTTAAAAAAAAGGATTTACACATTAGAAAATGATGCATTGTTCATATCTCTGTCACATTGATCCAGCATTCCAGGTTGCTACAGGAATGAGGAAACTTTCTCCTAACTTTTACCTTCTTGTAACATGGATAAACACTTAATATACCACTAGAAACTCAGGGGAAAGGAAGAACTGGAAGCCAGTATCCCGTGGTAGCCCACCCTGTATAAAAAAAACAAAGCATTGAAACATTTTAGTTAATGTCATAGATATACTCAATAATCACAGCATTGTAGGTCAGGCTGGCATTCATCTGTCTTGGGAGACAATGAAGGAGTGCACCTTTGGAGGTGAGGTCAAGCTGCCATAGAGTTGCAGTACCTGCTGTGGCTATAGAAACCAAATCAGGAGAGACATGTTTTGTTGCAGCTGAAGTAGATGAAGGCATCCAGCTGTGCTGCTACAGATGCACCATGGCGTTTCTTCTCTCTGTGCTCCTCCCAGTAGTCATTTCTCCTCTGGTCATTGCTATGGATACATTACTTGATTGCCTGTCTTGAGGCACTGCAGTTGTCTGCAAGGGATTCCCACATGGAAATGTTGATGTTGCCAGCTTTCATGTCAGGTTTGCAGAAATATTTGTAACACAGAGTTGGTCTGCAAACCACCCTGGTACCAGAAGCCAGTTTCCCATAGAGCACGTCCTTGGGGATCCTGCCATCTTCCATTCTTTGGACATGACAGAGCCAGCATAGACATCACTGAGACAGGAACAAGCTGGGAATGTAAGCTTGGGAAAGCACATCTTTGTTTGAAATTCTGTCCTGCTATTTGATCCCCGAAATCCTCCTGACACAGCACACGTGTCGCTCCTGACGGTTGTAAGTTGCCCATGACTCACTACCATAAAGCAGTGTGCTCAACAATCAAGCCTAGTAGACCTTCGTCTTGTTATTGGACATTAGCATCATATTCTCGCATACCCTTTTGGAGAGGTGAGCCATTGCTGCAGCTGCCTGGCCAATATGTTTGTCCAGCTCAGCATCGATGGAGAGATTGCTGCTTATGGTGGAACCCAGGTAGACAAAATTGTCTACCACCTCAAGCATGTGGTCACCAATGCTGATGCGTGGAGTGCTGATGATGTCCTGATCCAATATGTTGGTCTTCATGAGGCTGATGGTAAGCTTGAACTCCCTGCAGGCTTGGGGTAGTTCAGGCAAGCAACTGATAACTGAGACTACAATCCTAATGCCACTTACGTAGGAAAAAGCCCCACTGAATACAGTAGGACTTACTTCTGAATAGACATGATTAGGTTTGTGCTGTAACATAGTTGTAATTCAGAAAGGTCTACTTTGCTCCAGCCCTTTCTCTAGTTGTTTAGATGTTGTAACCAACATTTGAGCCAACTGATTACTCCAATAGCCTTGTGAAAGTTTAGTTCAGCCTCATCTGTACTGTTGGACTCCCATTCCTAGTGCTTGGCACACATGTTAAGAAGCTTACTAACATATAGTCCCCATGTGGAGCCCAGCCATGTGGTAATAATTTTCAGTAGCTGTCACGTGTGCACTGCAGTGTTTGAATTGACCCTGAAAAGAGCCAGCAAAGCCTTGCTTACCCACCTGCACTTGACTAAAGACCCCACAGCAAGTCAGTGTTTCCTGAAGCCAAAACAGGGAGCAACTTGGTCTGATCCGCAGACGCCTTTATCCAGCTGCAAGGCCCCTCTTCAAGCCAAGTAGAGAGGAGCTGATGATGTTGAGGCTTAATTATACTGGCCTGCAACCAGGCTGATGAATCAAATAACTGCTTCTCATAATACACTGGTACGGATAGCCAAATACAAAATACACATGCCTCATGTCAGTTCTGAATAGTGTGTGTGTGTCTATTTAATTGCAAAATACATAGAAAAAAGAGCTGATCAATTTTCCATCACTGCTGTATATTTTTCCAGGAAAAATGGTGATTTAAATGTGCATGAGTGTTCATGTGTTGAAGCAATATGTGTGGATACTGTATGCATCTATCTACATCTGAGAACAAAAAATAAAAAGTACCCAAAGTATTACCTGTAAGATTGCTACTACTGCAAAGGGGACAATAGCAATTATTTTAACTAGGTCCAGATTAGTGCTTAAAGGGTTTTCACTAACCTGGTGGCCTCCTGTTAACACCAATTATGAGCATGCTGGATGGGCCTTTTAACATTTTACTTATTTTAACATTTTGTTTATTTAAACATTTATGTTTAATAGTTTCAATATAGTAAATCCAATTTAAAAAGCAATAAAAGCATTCTACTAGGAAATGGTGGAGGGGGGATATAGAAAGCAGAGAAGAAACAAAGGAATATATAAAAAAGAGGGTATGTAGTATACGAGACGTATCAGAGAAGATCATACTATACATTGAAACTAAAGGGAGTTGAAGTATATGACCCTTGAGGTCTCTTCTGACTACAATTCTATGAACATGTTCAGATACACTCACACACTGAATACAATGTTGAGTTTAGGGGAAACTGTTTTTTGCATTATTTATTCAGATCCTACAGGAATGCTGAGGCACTTGGATATTTCCCTGATAACTGGGTAAGCCCATGAAAGCTGATGATAGTAATTTGACTGATCAGATCCTAGACTCTTTCTAGTAAGGGAATGGTGTTATAGCTATCACATAATAAAAGGAGGTGGGGACTTTGATGTGAGAGTAATTGAATTGAGAAAGCTTTTAATACTCAATATCATTAGTATTTTTGAACAAAAAACCCCCTTGATTTCTCTTTATTGAAGTATAGATAAGAAGTTGCAGAACAATCTAAAACAAGCCAGTGTTCTGTATTCCTTTGCCCACAGGCATACTTATTCTAAAATATATAGTGATGGCCTCGCTAAATCATTATTTTAGAGTACAAACATAATCATTCTTATAAGTGTTTTGCAGTAAAAAGTTGGAGCTACAGGGTATAGTCTACTACTGTACATCCAGAACCTTCAAATGTTGAGTCCAAGAAGGAAATGAAGTTACAATGAAGTTAACTATCTTCTGAAGTTACGTGCTTCAGCAGGGTAATAAGTTCCTGTCATTAACTTTCAGTGCAAGCCAGGGCTTCGCATGATGATTGTTCAAGCACAGCTGGTGAGGGTCTTGGAAATGCCATAGATACATAGCATTTATATGGTGCCTTTCATCTTAAGCACTTTACAAATTGCATAGATTCACATTAGTTGGCTACTACTAAAACGTGGTGATACAGGAAGGGGATGAAAAAATTGAGCAGCTGCTGATACTCATACTTATTACTTTGATGAGGCAGCAAATAAATATAAAATGCTTTGTAGTAGAGAGCATCAAAGGATTTTTTTTGAAAGGGTTGGTTGTAATTATCCATATTAGAATTCAGCCACTACTTCAGGAGTTATGCTCCTGTGCTCAAGTGTTAGATATTTCAATTACATGTCTCTCTCATACACCATACATCTCAAAATGTGAGGAGAGTATCCCAAGTGAATTGTTGCTTCTCTCTGACACACACACACACACACACACACACACACACCCTTTCTACATATGTATTTATTGCCCTTAGTTCTACATATAACTTGTCAATCTGTGAACACATGTGCCTATTTCCTTGAGGAGTGTACAGGCCCTCACACACCAAAAAATAAATAACAGATAACATTCAATTCACATGCTAAACACACAGACTTGTACACCCACCCACCTGGTTTACATAATCACCTGTTGTTGTTGTTGTTGTTGTTGTTGTTTGGAGGTATAAATCAAATGGGCCACTTGTACTGTCCCCACGTGGTAGACTACTTCAGCTGTGTGTTAGGAAGGAAGCTTGTTACTGCCTATTACAACACCCACATAAGACTCAAACACTTTTTCTGGGGGCTGTTGAAAGAAGTTGTGCTGACTAATAAAGAAATTGAGGGATTTTATTTCCATAGGATTGCTGCTGGGTCTTGTTGCCTTACTTTAGGTATTTTTGTGAAAGCTTAAACAAACTGTGGGGAGTCATTTTGGACTCACAGCTGTCCATGGAGGCGCAGGTCAGTTCTGTGTCCAGGACAACTGTCTGTCAGCTCCATCTGGTATGCAGGCTGAGACCCTACCTGCCCGCAGACTGTCTCGCCAGAGTGGTGCATGCTCTAGTTATCTCCCGCTTGGACTACTGCAATGCACTCTACGTGGCGCTACCTTTGAAGGTGACCTGGAAAGTACAACTAATCCAGAATGTGGCAGGTAGTCTGGTGAAGAAGTGTCATTTATCCTATTTCTGCTCCTGAAACTAAGGCCCCTTATGGAATTAGAAGGCTCCTGTTCCAGAATGTCTAGAGCTGTGAAAAGAAGCAAGGCTCAATTGTTTCTTTATAGAGATAATTATCTAGTCACAAAACAAAATGTGTAATCTAAACAGTGAGGGCTGTTTAAGTAGCAAGACAAACTTATCTTTGGTTTCTTGGACATCTGAAATGGTTGGAATGAAATCCTCATAAAAAATTCTCTGTAATAATTGTAGCTGCACTATTAATCTGAAAACCACTATAGTAATATTCCCCATGTTAATGATAAAGCACAGTGTTTTGAATTAAATGTAAATTGAACACACTCATCAAATTACAGCATTAGTAAGTAACTTTATCCAAGAGACAGCATGCAGTTCTGAATGTAGGAGAATGGACTTCTCAGTTATGTATGTCACTCCTTTGTTGTCTTTGAATGTAAACAGCATTTCCGTGAGCTCTGGCTTCTGTCATGGTATTCCGTTGCGCCAGAAGCAGTTTAGTCATGCTGGCCACATGACCTGGAAAGCTGTCTGTGGACAAATGCCAGCTCTCTCGGCCTGAATGCCACACCCCATAGTCACCTTTGACTGGACTTAACTGTCCAGGGGTCCTTTACCTTCACCTTTTACCTTTGAATATACCCACACCAAGGCTGCATGTGGATCATTTTAAGCCTGAAAATCATATGACTTAATGGGACAAACCAGGGTTACAAAAAAATGTGCTCACTTTGCATGGTTAGTGTTAGTGTTGTAGCTGAGTTTTGCTCTCTGGCTTACAGCTTGTGGTTTGTCTTGGGGAGATACATTTGACTCTGGGCTCATGGTTTAATGCTTAGCTCACAGCACCAGGAGTGGAGGAGCAAAGCAGCCACAGTGTTCACCCTGAGAACCTGTGCCGTAGTGTTTGTTCACAATAAGCCATGATTTGGCTTAGTGTTATGTGCTAACAGGGCCTTTGTTACGGATGCTGAGACTTGTTAGGAGACTCCTTTTCTCTTCACAGAGCTCCAGTTCTCTGACTGGTTTGACAGCCAATGCTTCTTCCTGGGGAAATCTGGGAAATAAAGTTCTGTGAGGGGCACAGGTCTTCTAACAACTCTCAGCAAACATAAGACTGTGAAGAAACTTAAGACTGTGAGAGGACCGTGACCATCTACAGTGCTTCACTAAACAAATAAACAAGAAGTGGCATCAAAACACTGCAGCAATGCATAGAGGTATAGGTCTTCACACCATGGCAACAGAATAAATCAGTAACTAGGGGTGGAGTTATGGCAACCATGGAATATGACAAAGAGAGACATGACTGTCTGCACCGCTGCCCTTTACCCCACTTTTAGCACAGTGGTGGCCCTGCCATTACACACACTGATATGAGTTTGGGTATCATGAAAGGGGCAACAAACTGTTTATTTCTAAATCTTGATCTTCTCTTACATAATATGTATATTATGTATAATATGTATAATAAAGCCACAACAATGAAACAATGAAAAAGATAGGTCAAGAGAAAACAGTATCCCCACCACCTTAAAAAAATAAACTACTACTAAATCAGATTGTGCTATTGTTGGAGACAGAATATCAATTAATACAAAAGAATATCAATCTGGTTGGTGCTGGATCATAAACATACTTCTGTTCTTTGAGCTCCCTATTGTATAATTTAATTATAGCTGCTGTAATTGGCTTAAATCCAGTGTCATTTCTCACAGTATGCTCCTTTCACTGTTAAGTGGAACTGGAATGCCAAAACAAAAATGGAATCCCTTTGAAAGAGAGCTGATGAGTATCATGCAGTATTAGTGATGTGACACCTTAACCTCATAAAATATACTTTTACTTCTATCACTTGGCTGTGAAATTTTGTCCCTTCAAGGTGACTTCCTCAATGTTCTTATTCCCCACCCCCCAGCTGTAGCTAGGATAGCTTAGTTGATAATGAATATGCAGAAATCACCTATGCAAATGCTGTTTTGAATCTTTGTTAGAACATAAATATATTTTGCACTTTTGAAAATAATTCTGACAGATGATAAGAAAAGTATGACTGTGTGCATTAGTATTTTCAAGAATTCTGTATTTTAATTTATGTACCTCATACTTTTTGTTTTTGTCTTCCACAATCTTAAAGTACAAAGCTTGACAAAAGGGGGAAATAAGAGGAAGGGCAGAGGTGGAAAAGGCATGAAATATGACCAAATAAATTTACAGAGGTGGAAGAGGCATGAATCATGGCCAAATACATTGACAGAAGGGGATTCAAAGTAAGCAAAGAACAGGAAAGTATGAAGTTGACCATTGTCAAGAGAATGGTCACTTGGGAAGTTATAGTCAGGTTGTTCAGGAAAAGACAACCTTGCCAAAAGCTAGAGGGGAAGGAATAAAAGACCAGATGTGATTCAGGAGAAAACTAATAAATCACACTGACATGACAGGTGCATGCTATTTACTCACTGGTGATACCATTTTTTAAAATGGGTAGCTCTACCTATGATTCCCCCAAGAGATGATTTGACTAGGGTTAAAAATTGCAGTTACTTATCCCAGTTTAGCTACTTCTTAATGTCTTTGTATTTGAAAGTTTGGTTTAGAAATACAGTTGAAAGCTGCATTTGAAAGTTTGGTAAGGTAAATGCTTAAAATCTAGTCAATAATGGCAATGGTAATCTAATAGAGAAAACTGCATGCAAGTTTTGATTTTGCTGTCAAAGTATCACAAACAAGATTTTCTCTGGTATTAATATTGCGTTAAAAAAAAGAAAGAAAGAATGAGAATTAAAAAGAGTACATAAATTAAACATTTAGGTTCTTACCACAATTGGCAGATGCAACATATTATTTTGGCATTTTATGTAGACTTTGTTTTCTTTAGTACAAAAAGTGTGTTTGCATGTAAAAAAACCTACTATTGGAATAAAATACATGTTGGAATTAGTGAAATGTATTAAAGCTGCTATTAGTGACTGATGGATGCAGGAAAAATAAGTATCACATAGGGATAGGCTGCCTTCTGGCAAAGTTAGAAAAATAACAGTACATTTACAGTTCAGAATAGCAGGTAAGATTTTAAGGACACCAAAATAATAATAATAATAATAATAATAATAATAATAATAATAATATATGGAGCTGCAGACTTTGAGAAGGAAGGGTATTTAGAAAATTGTCTCATGGCGGGGCACTGGGTTCTAGGTGAGTGGGAGCTTGTGCTGATCACAGAGTCCAGAGACACCAGCTCATGTACCTCTAGCACCAGTTCCAAATCCAAGAAGCAGCAAAATGTTCTAGTGAGGCATGGTCAAACACAGCAGAGAATAAGTCCAGGTAAGCAATGGTCAAAGTCCAAAAGGCAAGTAGGGGAAGGGGGAAAGTAGGTAAGGGTTTTTTTTAGGTCGGTTAGTTCCTAGACTAGGAGGCAGGCTTGGCTATTGCTCGAAACAGCAAACCAAGACTGACCCTTAAATAGACCTGCTACTTGCTTTGAGCAGCAAGCCCCACCACTACGGAGTTGAGCAGGGCCATCACATACTCGTTCAGCAGACACATTCAATTCCCAGTCAGATATGTCCTCTGAATCCATGGCTTCTTCTCCTGATGATAGCAAATCTGAGCCCTGGCTCGTATCAGAGGGTTCAATTCCTTTTACCAACAACTCCCCCACTTCATAGGCGAATGAGAATATTATCATGTACAACTAGTGTGCTTCCAAAAAATTATATTGCATTCCCCACCCACACCCACACCCCCGCCAGCATTTCCCATCAATTAATGTTCTGGTGGATCACTATTCTGGTTGTCATGAAAGTGGTGACTTTCATTAATGTGCTAACACTACTAGCTAGCTCTGAGTAAATTAATGGTGAGCTTCTAGAATCTTTTTTCAAAGCTATTGCTGAGGAGCCAGAAGAGGAGGGTTTGGAAGGCATGGATTTCCTTGAACGGCCAAAGCAATTCAACCCCCCAACCCTCAGTGGAGGTGTCCCTATGCTCAGCTTTCTCATGTGGGCAGGAGGCCCAGTGGTGTTATCCCTGCCAGCTGAACCCAGGGGAAAGTGTCTAAATGGGGTGCTGCAAGGCTGGGGAACCCTGGGATCCACTGGATCCCGAATCAGTCTCATACCCATCACTGGCTGGAATCAGGCTCAGTTGTTGTGCCCCACCCCCACCCCAATCTCTGCTGCCATGAGTGGCCAGATGGCAAATGCGGCAGTCACTACGCAAAGCCCATCAGGTGGGGGGGGGGGTAAGGTTGCAGCCTTAGCTTTCCCAGCTGCCACCACTGCTGAAATGGTTAACTCAAATCAGCTGAGGGTAAGCTGTTGAGAAATGTCTTTTCACTCACTTTACGCACAAGAGTGTTCACACAAGCAAACTGCACAGTAGCAGCATTAGGCAATACAGCATACTTGGAATTCTGCACACTGTCTCTCTGTTTATTCATTTTTTTGGAAGCAGTTGACTTAAACAAGGCCAGAATTCTATCGGAAGTCATAGAAGCTGCCAGTAAATCAAATAATTATCTGCCGCATATAAATGTTAACAGAAATGATTGGCTTCTTAGTATTTTTAGTGTCCAAGTATTTAATATATTAGTATCTGCTTTGCCAAGTAGTCGAAAACGGCAAGGTTCTTTTAAAAAAATTCTTCTTTATAGTTTAAGCTGTTTCCCCCCGCAAGTTGACACGTTACTCAACACACCTCTCCTTAAAGCACAAAAAATTGCTAAAAACAAAAGGGGGAATCTTGGAAAACACTTCACTCCATATTTTTGACCTATTTTGTATTATTTGCAGATTTGCATGGGTTTCAGTTGCGCATTCCACTGGTTAGTGAAGTTTGGGGTATTTGAAAAATATACATTGCTGCCAAAGTAGTTTTGTGCTATTAACAAAAAGAGGCAAATTCTATTCCAAACTATCATATGCTTTGGAAAGAAAACCCAATTTATATAAAAATTGTATCTCATAGGTCAGGAATATTTTTATTGTAGATCAGTTTTTGTTTTAGAAGCACTGTGGAAGTATGCTAAAATTGTTATCTACTTTATAAATGAGAAGGGATAAACCAGCACTCACATAGTCTTGTGTCTGTTGCAAGGCATATAGTAATACTGAGTGTTCCTCAGAAGTTTTAGAATCCAGGCTCTGTGCGGTAGGTGGAGGCAGTTCCATTTTCATTCTTCATGTACACCACACGATACCAACAGCGACGACAACATCTTCCTCTGAAGTTGGGATGCTTCCTAAGCAGCACCAATTGTCTTTTGAACCTATGGACGTCCCTGACATGAAATATTTATGCTGCTATCCCTCAGCTGTCAGGAGTTTGAGTTAGGCTACTCTGTGATGCAAGTGAAAAGAACATAACCCAGGATTAAGCACAAGCATACACACTGAGTACTGTCTAATAGCATAACATGTCTACTGGATTTTGTTCATAGTGATTATTGCAGAAGCAGTGGTTAAAAATACATCTGGTGCATGCTTTTCAACAACATGGTGTTGATAGAAATATACCCATTGCAAATGCAGGTATAGTTTCACCTGTGGTAATGTCTGACACAGTTCTCTAGTCTGTGACTCCTATCAATTTCTAGGGAACAAGGTATGGTGGTGGTATTTTGGTATGCAGATGAGAGGAACCTAATGGATTGCCAATACTGAGAGTGGGATAAGGGACTGCAACTGTGCTTCTACTTGATTTCTCAATGACTTTTGATATCATTGACCCTGGTATCCTCATGTACCAGCTCCGTGGGATGGGTATTGGGGGCACTGTTCTATAGTGTGTCTGCTCCTACCTACAGGGTCATGGCCAGAGAGTAGCATTGGGGGACTGTGTTTTGGCCTCATGGTCTCTGCCCTATGGTGTACTGCAGGCTGCAGGAAATCAAGAGAAGCTGTGCTTGATTTCTACTGCTGTATGGGTGCAGAGGTGGAGTGGATGAGGGCTAATTATTTGAGTTTAAACTATGAGAAGATGGAGACACTGGGTTGGTGGTTCCAGTGTCCAGGAGACTGGCCAGTTGCCTGTTCTCGATGGGCATGCGCTTCCTCTGAAAGGACAGGTTTGGACTTTGGGAGGTACTCCTGGATCCATCTTTGCTGCTGGAGATTCAGGCAGCCTCAGTGGCTAGGAGTGCCTTTTACCACCTACAGTTGGTATTCTAACTATGATCTTGCTTGGACAGGGATAATCTGGAGACTGTGAATAATGCATTGGTAACCTCAAGTCTCAATTGTTGAAATGTACTTTATGTGGGGCTGCCCTTGGGCCTGGTCCAGAGGCTCTAGTTGGCACAGATTGCTGTGGCTAGACTATTGATATCACCAGCACATAACTCCTGTGCTCAAAAGCTTGTACTGGCTGCCTATATGCTACTGAGCCAGGTTCAAGGTTCTTTTATTAATTTAGAAGGCCTTTAACAACTTGGCTCCAGGATACCCCAGGGACTGCCTGATCCCTTATATCAGTACTCAATCACAGAGGCTATATATTCAGTATTATGGTCTCAATTTTGTGGAACTCACTTCCAGGTTGAGTTCAGGCATGCCCCTTTCCTGTTGAACTTCTGGAGCTTACTGAATACTTCTTTTATTCTAGCAGATGCTTTAATTGAATTCTGATTGTATAGTTTTAACTCATTTTTACTCTTATTGTTTTTGGTCTCTACTTCAAGACGACTGTGCTTAATTGGTACATGAAATATTGAAATAAATAAACCTACTACTCATTCCAGTCACTGGGATCATCTGTGCAAGGGAGACTTAGCTCCTAAAAGGTACTTGGGAACAAGAGAGCATATCCATAATGCAGATGGATACTGCATTATCCATCTGCTACAAACAGGTCCCACGGGTCTCCTCATATAGACATGTACATCACATTGTAGTGGGAGACATTTCACAAGTTTTAAAAGAAAGCTGAGAATCTGGCACTGATGTTGCCCTCTCTGGGAGCTAGGTGAAGTGCCTGAATCTAAGGAAGTCTGAATAATAGGGCATGTTTTATTAATAAACTTGGAAACTTGCAGAGGAATTTATGGCCAAATCTCCACACATGGTTATTTCTGTGTCAAGTGCCCATTTAATTGTGTGCTAAGTAGTGGTCAGAAAGATACTTCATCTGGTGTTAATTTATGTAGAATGTACATCAATAATAGTCCCTTTAAAGTTGGTCAGTACTTTTAAAAAAAGTAACTGGAGCAAAGAGTCTCATTACTTTTGAGACTTAGCTGGATAAATTGGTGAGGAGTATTGCTGCAATTAATAATAATCTGACTCCAATAGTGGTGTGTTAGAGCTAAACTTCTGTGGTTATTTTTACTTTTCGCTGAGGAATCAGAGGTGGCCGCAGCTGTAAATGGGCAACTGGATAGGAATAAAGTACTACAAGAGAGCTAAATACGTTTTCTTGTGAGGCAAAGCTTGGTGGGCAGTGTTGCTTTGCTGCATATCTCACTACTCAAGTTAACAGGAAGAATCTTGTTCTTAGATCAGATTAGTTAGTACTATGATTTGCTTACTGAGCCCTGATCACAGGCATCTGAAACAGTGCACTCTAGCCTTCCTTGCTTCTCATTTGTTCCATGCTAGAAGCTGGATGATTAAGTAGGTGGCTGCCTTTTATTATATGGGCTATCATTAGGAATGTTGAGTATGGAAGATCCTGCACTGGTGGAGGCTATTAGATTACTTTTGAGGGTTCTTCATTCCTACAGTTCTGGGATTCTCTGATGTCACTAATCAAT